TAGGCTAAGAGACAGTGATTGGCCCATGATCACCCAGGGAGCTTCATGGCTGAGTGGGGATTTGAACCCTGGTCTCCCAGGTCCTAGTCTGACACTCTAACTACTACTCCAAACTGGCTGTCCAACAACATTTGGAGGACACCCTGTTGGCTACCCCAATTGTAATTTGGGTGTCATCATTAGGGAAGTACCTGTGCTTCAGGCCCTTACTGTTGTAATATAGTCACTGACTTACACTTGTGTGCATGAAAGAGTTAACCTGAGCCCAGAGCTCAGGTACAAGTGGGTGTGCCTTGGCAGGCTCTCCAGCAGGCTCTGCTCCCACCTCCTTTCTTTTCTCTCTTTGTGCCATGCAGCTTTGGCTCCCAGCTCAGCTGATTCTGCAGGTGAACTGAATCTTAGCTAACTCAAAGATTTCATTATATTTTTTGGAAGAAAACAAAGTCCTTGTGTAGTCATTTAGAACCTTTTTCATCTTTGTCTTATGGCCAGCAGGTGGAGACCTGTTGGATGTAACTTCTGGAAACACTGCAAGTAAAATTTTCACTTATTTGGAAAGCTAAGTGCCTGTGATTTATTCTAGCCTAAGTATTTGGGGAGGGATTTTGTTTAAAGGTGGATGCGGGCTGGTGTAAATCTAAGTTTTAATGTCTTAGGAGCAATTGCCGAGTAAGAATCTCTTCCAGCCCTCTCTCTCTTACATAATAGGAAACCATCCTTCAGTTCCTAGGTAGGATTAGTGGTTTTAAACTGCAGAATTTCTGGGTTTGGTGCAAAGAAATGGCAGCCTTGTATCCTGCTGCGTTTCATTCCCCAGCAATAGTTTGTTTCCATTTCAGTATCATCGGTGTGTAAAAAATGCACAGACTAAGCAGGATCTGATTCTTGTTTCCTAGTGCCTTATTCTCATTGCCCTTCCTGGCTTGCCACTCACCTATCCACATGGCTCCTTCACTGAGGGCGGCCGGAGAGTGAAGCATGAAAAGAAGCCACAGAGACTTGGCTTGCTAGGTGGTCCGTGGTGCAGCCTATTCCACAGGGGTGTCAGGGGCAATTTTATGTGCTGGTGAGAACCCTGATGTCCTTGGAGGAAGGGCAGCATAAAAACCCAGCAAGCAGTAATAACAGACAGTTTAATAAGTAAAAGTTACCTTGCACTCCCCTCGGTATATAAAAAAGCAGCTACACTGAGGGCATGACACTATGCGCATGTACTGAAATGAAGTTCGTTCAGCACTGAAGGAGCACGAGTAAAGGCAAGACAAAATGAATCAAATAAAGCAGTGACCTCCTCCTGCTCTTTCTCCAGCTGCAGAGGCAAGAAGGAAAGCTCTTGCAGGAAATCCTGAAAAGTAGCCCTTCCTATTACAGAGACCTGTTATCAGACAATAATACAGTGGCAAAGATCTCTGTGGAAGCCTCGTTATAAGATCAGTTAAATTAATGGGAGTTCCCATATGGTGGAAGTTATAAAGGGAGATAATTGCTACCTGTAGTAGTGATGTATTAAAATGCTAATTGCTGTTGTCAGCAAGGTGGTGTGTTTTTTTAATATAGAGGTCATATTAAAGTCTCCAGTGTGTCTCCTTAATTATATAGAAAGGTAAGCAGTCATACCAAGAAGACTGTATTTCTTTGCTATTGTTACATGTGTTAGTGGCTGAAATGCTGCAACTCACTGAAAACAAGAACAGGAACAATGAGGGTGTCAGAAATGTTCATTGCAGTTGGATTAGCGGCTCATCAAAGACTCTTATGACAATATCATATTGTAATGGTTTCTAAATAGTGTTTCAACTACAGATGATCATTATCTGAATTTGGTTATCTTTGCAACAATGACATTTTTATTTTAAAGTTTCAATAAATAATATTTGTAGGTTGTTTATTTTAAGGATGTGTGGATATATTTTTTGGTTTTACACTTGTAAACAGCTTAGAAGTCTTTCTGGCAAGTAAGTGGTATATCAAATAAAAAATAAATAAAAAAAATCAAAAAAATCAGCCTCCATCCTTCAGCTCCAGCGCAAAAATTAGAAGTCTTCTTCTGGTAAATTTCTGATCTGAATCCACTGCATCATTGCAGAAGTATCATCTGCCAGGCACTTAGACTGTAACCCTCTGGGAGTAAGTCCCATTGAACTCAATTGTATTTACTTCTCAGTAAACCTCCATAGGAGTACTGCACTGTTAATAAACTGCACAGTGTCTCCCTAGACAGCATGCAAGGGAAAATACTCCCAGAAGGATAATTTGCAAGTCAAATTTAGGAATTAACTCCATTTCCTACAAAATAAAATAACAAGCTAAAATAACAAGAAAAACTCTACATGGAGTTCAAAAACCAAAATTAATTTCTAAGTGTTAGCATCTATGCAAAGGGCGATTAATGAGCTTGGGTACTTCAAAGCAGGTAGTATTTTTCTCGATGTAGAATTAATGAAGAGCAGATGGAAACCCAAGCTTCCCTGTAGGGGGCGGGCAACGGAGAAAAGTGATTCCTCTGTGAGACACGCAGAGTGCAGGCTTGACAGCAAATCCTGCCTGCAGTCCAGGGATATGAAAACGAGCCTCCAAATCTGCTAAGCATGCACAAAGTGTTTCCACTCCCCACTGGGCAAAAATGGCCAACTGCTTAGCATGGGGAATGTTGGGCTCCACAAGTTCTGTTATTCCACCATGTGCTGCACAATCCTATGCATGTTTCCTCTGAAGGAAAGTCCATTGAGTCCAATGGATTTAACTTCCAAGTAAGTAAAGCGAGTACAGGATTGCAAGGTTTTATAGGATAAAACTAATGCTTCAGCATTTCTAGATGAGGATGGAGGGAAGAGATGAGCATTAGTCCTTGCACCTCCACAACCTCAACCTAGGTAAGTCCCATCCATCCATCCATCTCCTCCAGCCTGTCAATTTGGAAGCTGTTTAGGGGCCCATGGGCTCACCTGGACAAAGCAAAGGGGCTTCTAGCAGCATTGCAGTGATGTGTGTGCTGAAGCCCAACAGAGATCCCAACCCTTAAAAAAAAAAAGCTTTGGCAGACCCATGGTGGCTAATGAAAAGGCTTAATTGATAATCAGCTAGTGAAGATTGCAGGACACTTTGTAGGAGGGGAATAATCTGTTCCTAATTACGAGTAAATCCTATCTGTATGCATGAGGTAGGACATGTGCCAAAGAGATAAGGTGTTTGCCAGGATATATTGCCAGGCCAATAAAATATTTCAAATACTTCTTCACATGGAAGATCCTGGGCTTTCTATTGGGAACCGCCCTGGGATTTTCAGATAAAGGGCAGTACAGTGGTGCCTCGCAAGACGAAAAGAATCCGTTCCGCGAGTCTCTTCGTCTTGCGGTTTTTTCGTCTTGCGAAGCAAGCCCATTAGCGGATTAGCGGATTAGCGCTATTAGCGGCTTAGTGGGCTTAGTGGATCAGCTGATAAGCGGCTTAGCGCCTTAGCGGATCAGCTGATAAGCGGCTTAGCGGCTTAGCGGATCAGCTGATAAGCGGCTTAGCGGATCAGCTGATAAGCGGCTTAGCGGATCAGCTGATAAGCGGCTTAGCGGCTTGGGAAAAGGGGGGGGAGGGGAAAAACCCTGCAGGAACTCGCAAGACATTTTCGTCTTGCGAAGCAAGCCCATAGGAAATTCGTTTTGCGAAGCACCTCCAAAACGGAAAACCCTTTCGTCTAGCGGGTTTTCCGTTTTGCGAGGCATTCGTCTTGCGGGGCACCACTGTATACAAATTTAAGAAATAATTTCTCTGCGCCTCCTTTCTGCCTCATTTCCCCATATTAAGATTACCAGATTTTTTTCAGTGAATCCAGGGACACTTTAAATACCTACCTACCTACCTACCTACCTACTACAAGTCTGGGACGTTGCTGCTGCAGCAGTGGCGGTGGCAGAGGGGTGGCTGCTGTCTTGACCACAATCGCCACGTTTCCCCTTCCTCCGAGGCTTCTATTTCTTCTGTCCATGAGCCTGGGCAGCCCCTGAGTTGTTGGTTCTTCGGTGGTGGTGGTGGGGAAGCGGGGCGCAGTGGGTCAGGCATGGAAGGTGGAGAAGGAGGGCTGAGAGCGTTGGCAGCGAGGCTTGGGCAGCGCTATGCCTCCCTTCCCATCAGAGCAGCCCCAATCCCATTCCTATTTGCGTGCAAGCAGGAGGAGGCGGGGATCCCTCAGCTGGGAAGGGAGGCTTCCCGTTGCTTAACTGAGAGATCCCTGCCCCCTCCTGCTTGCACGCAAGTAGGAATTGGGAGGCTGCTCCGATAGGCAGCATGAAGCCTCCCTTCACAGCTTAGTTGCTGGGGTCAGGGAAGGTGGAGGCAGCCCCGAAACTGCATCTTAGAGCCCTTGAACCATGGGGACTTCCAAGCAGCTTCTGAAGCCAGCCAGAGTCAACTGCTCTGGGCTGCTGAGACTGCCGCTGCTGCATTTCCTGGGGACATTAGATGAAATCCGGGGACATTCCGGGGATGGAATTTGTCCAGGGACTTATTCGCAAATCTGGGGACTGTCCCCGGGAAACGGGGATGTCTGGTAACCCTACCCCATATCCCTTTTCAACTCTGATTATGCTCAGCCACTTTCTACCTTCTTCTGTATCCCACTGAAAGCTACCAACATGTCCAATGTCTCTGCCCCTCGCCTGAGCCCCTGATGCTTCCCAAACATGCCCTTTCTCTCCCCCCCACCCCGCCATTATAATGTTCTTGGAATAACTTTATCAACGCTTGTCTAATATCTATATTAGCTGAGGGGGTGCCTTTCTGGGCTGGTGGGCACATTTGGAATCCTGAGAAAGTGCCACAGGCACCAATCGCAAAATGGCTGAAATGGGCCCCGTGGCATAAGACAAAATGGCTGCCACATCTCACAGAGCAGAAAGAGGGGCAGAAACACAAAATGGCAAAAGCCTACCCCACCTCCCTACCAAGATCTGTGGCACTACCCACCCATTCTCATTCTCTCTCCCCCCCTCGCCCCCCTGGTTATATCAGTGGAAGATCTATTTTCACTCTTTTAAGAGACATAATTTTTTTATTACTTTGATATGATCCACTCAAAGCTTCTCCAGAAACAATATCATTGAAGTTCTGACCCATCAAATGTAACACAATTTGCAGTTGAGTTGATCATATTGGAATTCCTCATTTGGGTTTGTCAACACTTTGTAAACAAGAACATCATACAGATATACTCCAAAACAGGAAGAGCACACAGGTCAGTTATCCCATCACTTCTTCATTTCACAGCAAAAAAAGCTACAACAATTGTTGCAAATTTAAATAGAAACACTTAGGCACGAACAAAGTGGCCCAGAAATTTGTACAATATGCACAAGAAATTATAGTGTGTTGAGAGAGATGGCAGATTTATCGTCCCTGCCTCAGTGTTAAAAATAATGATCTTCTCTCAAAAGACATCTCACTTCTTCGGAGGGATTTCGCACATGCACATTATTTGGCTTTTGCTGAAGAATAAAAAGCATGGATGGGTGGACACAATAGATTGAGGCTCTCTCTGTGGCGTTAGATGGTTGGAGGTGATGAGCATATGAACCAGCTCTCAGGGTGTCTTCACAGAGGCAGTGCAGAGATCAGTTGTGAGGGAATGATAGCCAGAGAGGGCTCTTTCCCTCTGCCTTGCTTGTGGGCTCACCACAGGCATCACTTTGTCCACTTTGGTGGGAAAGAGAATTAGATGGACCTTTGATGTGACCCAGCAGAGCTCTTCTGACGCTCACCCTGGCGGCAGTTCAGCAATTCTGTGGTCCGCAATTGGGCTAGCAGCTTTTCACACCATTCTTGGGACTGCATCCTCATCTTTCTTTGCTGCATCAAAGCGAGGGAGGGACTTGTTCCTGACATCAGGCTATGTGGCCCGGGTTCAGGAACCTTTCTTTACCCTGCTTTTTGCCTTGAACAGAACTGGGCTGCAGAAAGTGTCAGCACCAGCAAGCAATCCCTTAGCTCAATCATTTGTTGTCAGTTCAAGGGACTGTCCTCACAGTACCTAAGGCAGTCTTCTCCAACCTGATGCCCTCCAGATGTTTTGGACCACAACTGTAATAATAAAAATGATATCACCAACCAACCCCAGCCAGCACAGCTGTGTTGGCTGGGGCTAATGGCAGGTGTAAGCCCAAACATCTGGAGGGCTCCAAACGGGAGAATGCTGTCATAGGGAAGTGATCCACTACATCTGTGCAAGGATCTACATAATAGTGGAGGGATCCCTTTGAGCATGTGTGCATTACAGCCCTTGGGCCATTATGAGAAATCAATATCCATATGCACTTCCTGTCTCTTCACATCAGGTTGCTGGATTTGCACTGGAGATGTGTTGCTCTCCATGCATTTTTTAAAATTGTCCCACCTGCATTTCCCCCCACACCCTCTGGGCTATACAATACATTCCATCTTGTGCCATTATCTAATCCCATCTTTACTTACACTCCTGCTTTCCACAGATTCTTCTTGTCTTAATCTTATTATGGGCTGAGGCTATGCATCTCTGTCCTATGATGCCAGCGCTGGGTGTGCATGACAATGGCAGGCTTGTTTTGGTCCTTTGCCAGTTGGCAATAATCAAGGGATATTTGCTGCAATTAATGATGCACATCTGGGACTCACAGCAGGGATGCTCTCCACCTGAGCTGTCTCTTGCAAATGGCAGAACTCCACGGAAGACACCTGCATGTCAGAGACAGTTTTGACAACTGGTGGGAGGAAGAGCTTTGCTGGAAGGATTCCAAGGATGCAACAGGGGAGTGTGGCTTGTGTGTGCATACAGTATTTTAATGTTTTGCCATTTGGGGGATGGGATTGAATCTTCTCTTTCTATAGAAAAAGGACCATATAACTGAGAAGCCTAGGCTGAATTGTTTTTCTCCCCATCAAACTAGTTTCCTATTTGTAGGAATTCCAGATTTCTCGAGAGAGGAATGGGGCAATGAAACAGTACATTTTTTATGGTTCGGTTCTGTTCTCCATCCCCTAAACTGGTGCATATGTAAAAACATGCCCTGAGCATAGGAACCTAGATATCTGTAGGGTTTCAGTGCAACCTCTGGGGCCTTTAAAAGGAACTTGGTGTACCTCCATAAATTAGGTGAGGGGCCTTTGGACCCTCAGCCAACCCTACAGAGGCCACATGCATTCACGCTCACAGGCCACTCCCCACAGCCGATTCATGCAGGTCAGTGGAAGAGGGGGAGTTATCATCCCTCGAGAAGAGAGGACTGAGAGGTGAGACAACAGCCATCTTCGAATATCTGAAGGGCTGTCTCGTGGAAGACGGAGCCAGCTTGTTTTCTGCTGCTCCAGAGGGTAGGACCCGAATCAGTGGATTCAAATGACAAGGAAGGAGATACCAACTCAACATCAGGGAGAACTTTCTGGTGGTATGAGCTGTTTGCAGTGCTTTTTTCTCAGCTAGAGTGCACCAGAGTGCAGTCCCGGCACCTCTCAGGTGGGCGCTATGGCGGATCAACACTCCTCCCATCTGCTTCTTGCCTTCACATATTTTTGAGAAGCCCCAAACAAACCTTTCAAGTCAAAATGGAAGCTGGCCAGCGTGTGCATCTCTTTTTTTTTAGATCTATGACTCTGCCTAGCTCCTAGCCGCTCCTTAACATGATTGCTCAAGCTACAGGGCAGGGCCAATTTGCATTTCTTTTTCTTCAACCCATCTCCCGTGTAGCAGGAGGTTGGAGGCCATCTGTCAGAGATTCATTAGATACTCCTGCAACTCCACGATTCCACGAATTTATCAGATGAGGGATTGTTTTCTCATCAGGAGGCTGTGCTGAACAGAGAGGTTTAAACTTTTCTGCCACCACCCCAGCCTCCATACGGACTATATTCCTCCCCTGCATTTGGCCACCACCAAAATCTGTAGGGTCTTTTACTTCTGGAGCTGGATCAGGCCCTCGGACTTGGCGTTATCCACCCCTGGTATAGGCACAAACCAGTATGAGGAGCTGAGGGTTTTTTCCTAACCCAACATAAATGAAGTGGAAGAGAAGTGATCTTGGAAGTACATCAGATACACAAAGTTTGTAGGGAGGCAATTTGGAACGCTGTGCTATTGGATCAAAAACTGCAAATTGAGAATCCTCAGATTTGTATATGGAAATTCCTAACTTTTCCATTAAGGATTTCAGATACTGCCTGGACTTTAACTCTCAAACAAAGTGGGGACAATGCTGCTCCCCTCACGTCAGGCTTGTGGTCTTCCTTTAGGGGTCTGCTTGGCCACAATGAGAGCAGGAAGCTGGACCAGACAGGCCTTTCATGAGAATGCAATAAGAGCCTGCTGGATCAGGCCAATAGCCCATTTGTCCAGCATCCTGTTCTCACAGTGGTCAACAAGATTCCTGTGGGAAACTTGCAAGCAGGATTTGAGCATAAGAGCCCTCTCGCCTTCTGCAGTTTCCCCAAGTTCCTGTGGGAGGCAGTTCCATAGGTTAACTTTGCACTGCGTGAATAAGCCCTTTCTTCTGTCTGTCTTGAATCTTTCAATGTCCATCTTCATGGGATGTCCATGAGCTGTAGTGTTGTGAGAGAGGCAGACAAACCTTTCTCTATCCACTTCCTCCTCGCCAGACATAACTTTAGGAACTTCCATCATATTGCCGCTTAACTTTTCTCTAAACTAAAAAGTCCCGAACTCTGCAACCTTTTCTCATAGGGGAGCCACTCAGTCTCCCTGACCACTTTCACCTGGTCCAGCAGGACTCTTACATTCTTAAAACTTGTTTTTTTTTGCAATTCAACTTTTCCAAAATGGCACACATACTACAAACATGACATTTTCGCTCCTTTTTTCTTCAAGGAGCTTTTCAGTCCCCTCCACTCCTTTCGCAATAGCAGTGACATGTGGTCTCCCTTCCAACTCCACAGTTCCATGATCTTATGGTTCTGTGTATGGAAGCTGGAAGGGAGAGACACCAAGAAGACCTGAGCACGTTGTGGGAAGAGAAGGTGAGATTTGGGGATGGAAAAACAAAGTCAAGCGGAAGGTACTTGGCTGTTAGCCAGCACAGCCTGAGAATTGGCTAATGAACCTATCGCAATGCGGGCCCCAAAACGAGAATCCATTCTGATATATAGATCGTCTGAACATCCAACAGGGCATCACAGCAGAGGCGACACAAAGAAGGAAAACTCAATTCAGGGATAAAGTCAGAGAGGAAAGAGGTGACTTGTTACAAATGAGGAACAGCTCCTTCGTTAGGGAGATTGGAAACTGAGCCACACTTTTGATGGAGATGCGTTGCAGGGAGGTTCAGGTTGCTTAGGGAGGAAGCGTGTTGGAATAGTAGCTCAAACTCTCCGACACGGTTTTGGAGTCACTACGGGAGGAGCCGTTGGAGGCCAGATCCACAGAGAGGCGCTTGGTTTTGCTGCTGGCATCAAGCTCCTCTTCTGGGTTGCCAGCGATGGAGGAGACCGTCGTTTCCATCCGGCTGACCTTGTACATGCTGCTCTGTGTCTGGAGGTACCTGGCTGACTTCATCTCCAGCCCTTCGTATTTGCTGGCTCTGATGAAAGGGCACCACCGGAAAGCATGCTTGAAGCCAATCCGGAACCTGGGAAGACAAATAGTAGAATCACAGAATTGCAGAGGGCCATCAAAGGGCCATCTAGTCCAACCCCCTGCAAATGGGGTCAGCTGTGCTAGAACCCAACCTGTGGCATTTAAGACATGGGTCCTGGCCAGGATTTTATATATGGTACAGGCACACCAGATCCATTTTGTACACCCGTTTTCTTCCTCTTTATAACCTTTGCGCTGAAACATTTAAATTTTCTGGGCCAAATACTGTACCAAAGAGGAAAAAAAAGAAGCTGAGTTCCCTGAGCTCTGTATAAACTGCATAAATTAAGAAAATTTGCATAACTGATATTTTTTCTTTAAAATATCAAAGATTTATTGGAGAATTTGACAAGAAAGAGAAAAAGATGAAATAAAAATTAAGAGAATATAAAATACTCATGACTGAGTATGACAGTAATATACAAATAATAGAAATGTGTCCATTCACATTGTGGAAACAGTGACCCTAGGTACATGAATCTGGAATTAAACATACAAGTTTACACAAGCTCCCCAGAGGGCCAAATGGAAAATTGATCTTAACTTTCATGAGTGATTCTGTCATTTCTGCTATTTGATATAATTTATCCTGGCTGGGAAGGAAGGAAAGAAAGAAAGAAAGTTCTGCATTTGTAAGAAACAGAACTTTTAGTGTGGCAGCACTTACACTTTGGAACTCCTTGCCTATTGACACCAGACAGGCATCTTTGCTGTATCTTTTGGGCACCTGCTAAGAACATTTTTCTTTGGACAAACCTGACATGTAGAATGTTGACATGTGGTTTAATCTTGTTTTTAGCTTATTGATTTTAATTGCTTAAAATGTTTTAGTTGCTTTCACTGATAATTTTATTTTTTCATTCTTTTTGCAAATCATTTTGAGGTTTTATTACAGTATATAATATTATGAAATTCTGGATTGCATACTCTTGATCCCTGTACAGTTATTTACAGAGAAATGAACAATATTCTGCACCACTGACACCAAAAAAGCCAATCTCCAAAAGGGGTGATGATGTTTTGATATGTACAAATCTGCTTTTGCAACTCAAACCTGAGCATTAGCTGAACCCGTCGCAATACATCACAGGGACATGGATCTTACCTGTCATTGAGGCAGCAGTAAATAATAGGGTTGTACATGGTGGAGCTCATGGCCAGCCACAAGATAGCTAAGTAGACCTGCTGGATGTACTTTTCCTGGTACCACTCTGCCTTGAAATGCTGGAGGAGGAAGTAGATGTGGAAAGGCAACCAGCAGATGGCAAAGGTGCAGACCACAATGATCATCATCTTGACAACCTGTCAGAGAAGGACAGCCTCTTACAGCCACAGCATCAACTACCGTATTTTTCGCACCATAACCCTCACTTTTTTCCTCCTAGAAAGTAAGGGGAAATGTCTGTGCGTGTTATGGAGCAAATGCCTACGGATGGCGGGGGGATCTGCTGCAGTCGTGAGCAGAAGATCCATGGTTCCCCTTCCTTCCCTCCTCCGTGGCTCGCTTTGAAACAGCAAAGCGGGAGAAGAGCCGCTGAGTGAGGAGGAGAGAGAGAAACAGAGAGCCTGCTTGCTTTAAAGGAGCAAAGCGGGAGAGGAGAGCGGCTCCTCGTGTAAGCGGCTTTGAGAGAGACAGAGAGAGACAGAGAGCCTGCTTGCTTTAAAGGAGCAAAGCAGGAGAGGAGAGCGGCTCCTGTCCGGTTGGCTCCTTTAAAGCAAGCAGGCTCTCTGTCCGTCTCTCCTCCCCACGCGCTAAATAACAGCAACGTTTTTTCAAGCAGGCTCTCTGTCTCTCTCTCCTCCCCACTCGCTAAATAGCAGCAAAGATTTTTCAAGCAGGCTCTCTGTCTCTCTCTCCTCCCCACTCCTCTTATAAGAGCCTTCTCCTCTTATACCCTCTTCTGCATTATTAACAGCATCCTTCTCCACCCACCCCACGCGTGTTCCTTGTCCCTTGAGTGCTTTTCCTTCCCTCCCCACTTAAAACATGGTTACAAAGCACGGATCCACATGGATCCTCAGGATTTTTGCATTGGGCTACCCCAAACTCACCGTCAGATCACATGTCTGTGGCCACAGCATGAACCACAAAAATCATACATCCACTGTTTCGTTTAGAATATTTTTTTTCTTGTTTTCCTCCTCTAAAAACAATCTGCGTGTTATGGTTGGGAGCGTGTTATGGAGAGAAAAATACGGTAGCATTTAGAGGCAGTCAAAACGAAGACGTGACTGGTCCATTCATACCACCTAGCAGGGGCTTTGGGTAAGCACTACAGGGAAATCTCAGCGGGAAGAGTCAGAAGTATGTGTAATTGTCCTGGGGCTATTTGCTCTTTCAGAGGTGACCCACAAAGAATGTGATCTTTCCAGAGCCTTATCTCTGTGTCAGCATGTGTCCTGTGATGAATGAATGCTGCCCACATTGATCTGACTTTAAGGTCTGGTCAACGCTAACCCAACCAACTCCATTTTCTTTTGAGTTTCTCGTGCCCTTTTTTTGACTGGCCTTTTTTCAAGAAGCACTGTGGATAATTCTGGCCACCCATGCTCCTTTCTGGGATCTCCCTGTTCCCGCTCCATTGGAAACATCAACACCTCCAAGCACTGGTTTCCCAACTAGCTTTGCCCATTCTCTTCCTGTTACAATCTCCTCAGAGGATTTGCCAGCCAGCCCCTGTTCTCTGTCTCCAGGGGAGTGGCATGCCCTTGGCCACAGAGTGACCATCTTCCTTGCTAAAGGTGTGGGCCACAACTTCTTGCAAATCCTGGGCTCTCCCTTCCTTATGTTTAGAAGTGCCCAGAGCAAACGGAAGATGTGCCTGGCATCATTCTGGAACTTCTGAAATGAAATGACCCTTGTGGCAAATGAGATCTGGCAATCCTGTGTGCCTTGCAAAATATCTTCAGGAGAAGAAAAGGCTAAGGAGTAAATAATGCATGAATTCAGAGTGGGGTCCATAAGACAGTTTGATGGTGCTTTATATGCCTCCTTCCCATATCTCCTGCAGCCAAGCTGGTGCCCAATGTCTTGCTCTGCTTTCCATTGGACTACACCAGCGAGGCTGGAGGCACACTCCATTGTCTCTCGAGACAGATGGATGCCAACAACCAGGCAGTGGAGAAAAGCATTAGACCACTTCTTGAGATCTGTGTCAGTGAACCAACCTCTTGGCTAAGAGTCGTTGACGAACCCAAGATCACCCAGCGAGTTTCATGGCTGAGAGGGGATTTAAACCCAGGTCTGTGAGGCCCTCCTGTGAGACTTTACAACTGCACCACATGGGCTCCACCATCCACTTATCTTGTCAACATTTGGGGATCTAACCTAGACTGGGATTGGTTCATCTGAGGTAGCCTGGACTTTTTCTTCCCGCTCTGTTCAAACTCTGTTTTGATTCTTCAGAGCCACTTACCTTGCGCTTGGCAGACACCTGCTCCTGGTAGCGGTCCGAAGTGTCCCCTGGGATCTCACTGGCCCATAGTGTGATACCGACCATGGTATAGGCGTAGCCTATCACTAGGAGTGGCAGGACATAGCTTAGCACCGTCACACAAAAGTGGTACCTGGAATGAGTTGAAGAGCTTTAAGAATCATACTACAAGTGGCTGTTTGAGGGCCTGGGTGTCCTGGGGCTACCTTCTCCTAAGCCCAAAAGCCTGTGGATCAGCTACAGTACTTTCATAGAGAAGACAGGACTGCATGGGCATGGTTTAGGATGGGTCTACCCCAGGCTTAGCCCACCTTCTGCAAAGCAAGAGCAACCATCATACAGTTTTTGGCAACACACCTAACCTGGAGAAAGGGTTGCAAGTCACTTCCACTTGAAGGAGCGTCTCCACCCCTGTCATTCTACCCAGACACTGAGATCCAGCTCTGAGGACCTTCTGGTGGTTCCCTCATTGTGAGAAGTGAGGTTACAGGGAGCCAGGCAGAAGACCTTCTCAGTAGTGGCACCCACCCTGTGGAACACCCTCCCACCAGATGTTAAGGAGATAAGTAACTATACAAGCTTTAGAAGACATCTGAAGGCAGCCCTGTACAGAGAAGTTTTTAATGTTTGATGTTTTATTATGTTTCTGTATATGCTGGAAGCCACCCAGAGTGGTTGGGGCAACCCAGTCAGATGGACGGGGTACAAATAATAAAATTGTTGTTGTTGTTCCATTTCTCATAGGGTGGCCACTTAATGCATCATGCTACCCCCCTCAAAAAAAGGGGGAAGGGGGGGAAATGCAGTACCAAATAAGAGGACAGAAGAGGATACCGATTTGCATTTGCTAATTTTTATGTGTAGGTGCACATTTAGAAACAAATTGCTATAATTTAAATGAAAACACACCTCACCATTGTGGGGAATCATGTGACCAAGGATCTGCTCAGTCTGCCCTCCAGGTGCTGACTGTGGATGGGATCATAGGAACCTGCTTTATACCAAGTCAGACCATTGGCCCAAGTAGCTTGATATTGCCCACACTGTCTAGCAGTAGCGTTCCAGGCGGGAACATTCCCTAGCCGGAGATGAAATGACTGCACACTGCCAAAGCCTTGCTTACGGGGGTTGCACAAGTGCAGCTTCTGGGTTGCACGAGAGAGGCAGGGAGGCATGCCCATGGAGGCACCCATTGGATTCTGCTGCCTCAGTCTGCCTCACGCGTGGGCTGGCCCTGTCCCCTAGCCCTACCTGGAATCCCATTGAACCCAGGACCTTCTGCATGCAAGCCTGATGCTCTCACACTCAGCTGTGGCCCTATCCCAAGCCTTCCCCTCCAGCTCTCCCTTCTCAGGGCTCTCAACTTTAAACCAAACTTGGGTTGAGCAGTCATTCAAACAGAGGACTGTCTTCTTTAAAGTGGGACACATGCTAGTCCCCCACCAGTATAAGTAACCAAGTAAAAGGACCATTGTCATTTTAATGTTTGCAAGTTCTCAGGTCATCTTCAGGCTTAAAGCATGGGGTGTTTTTGACCCTCAACCCCCTCATTAGCTTCTTGACAAAGACACTACTAAAGCCTAGCAAGTCTCTGCCGACAAAAGTTTAGACTGGAGCTACTGAGCAGCTCAGGTTTAAACAAACTGTACCCTGATGTGCAAAGAGTCTCCCTGAAGTCTCCCAAGAAGAGCTTTGAAGGATTTTGAAGGTCATCTTTGAATTAGCTTGCAAAACCTACTTTGCAAAGCGCTCTGCTCTAATCCAGCTTGTTCTTAGGAAATGCCTCCGGAACCAAACACCACATGCTCACTCTTGCTCACTACAAATTCATTCACAAATATAAATCCCTAAACTGTAATCAGTCCTAATGCTTGGTTTCTGGCATGTTTTCTTAACAGCTCTTTCTCCCTGATAATGCTGGTTTCCCTTTACATGAATGTTGTTTGTTATGCTGAGGTCTTCCAAAAGCCCTGGCGCCATATTGCTGCGATACTGATTTATGATAACAAATGAAGCAGATTTGCACTCAGTCACACAGGCCTGTCAAGGCCAGCGCTGTCAATTACCCTTCCAGCTCTCTGTGTTCCAGCTATAATCCTTTCAGCTGGAGATGGCAGCAGCCACAGGGTGATTCAGGGTAGGGGACTGGCTGCTGAGCTATGCCCCCGCTTTGTGGCCTAGTCCACATATCCATAATAATAATAATAATAATTTATTATTTATACCCCGCTTATCTGGCTGAGTTTCCCCAGCCACTCTGGGCGGCTCCCAATCAGTGTTAAAAACAGTACAGCGTTACATATTAAAAACTTCCCTGAACAGGGCTGCCTTAAGATGTCTTCTGAATATCAGGTAATTATTTATCTCTTTGACATCTAATGGGAGGGCGTTCCACAGGGCGGGCGCCACTACCGAGAAGGCCCTCTGTCTGGACACAGACTCTTTCTGGACAAATGATCTCTCCAAGGAAAACCAGTTCCTAAAACCATCATTAATTCACTTTTAAACAGCGGCTAAAGGAAATATTGTCCTTGAACCAAAAGTGGGACTCATAATAATACATTATAATAATAAATTTTTATTTATACCCCACCCTCCCCAGCCAAGACCGGGCTCAGGGCGGCTAACAACCAAGAATAAAAACAAGTTGACTGAAATACAACTTAAAAAACAAGATTAAAATACAACATTAAAATGCAGCCTCATCACAGGAGGAGAAAGAGGAGAAAGAGGGGGAGGGAATCAAAATGACTCCAAGCCAAAGGCCAGGCAGAACACCCCTGTCTTAGAAATCAGAATTCCACAGGGCCCTGGTCTCATGAGGCAGAGCCAGTGTTGAAAAAGCATATGCTGTTGGTGGATTCTTGTCTTTGTCTTGTTGGGCTGTGTATGTGATAAAGGGAAGCCATACTGGGGTGAAGTTGACAGCTATGACTGCATCTAGAACACAAGGAACACTGGGCAGCTGTGGAATGCGATGACATCAGATGACATCAGAAGAGGCAGTTTTTTCTGTTTAGATCAGCAGAGGGAGCCCTCTTGAGCCCACGGTCTCCTCAGCACCTGAAGAAATGGCCCAGGAGAGCTTCTGCCAGTGCAGCCTCCGCAAAGAGATGAAAAGGAAGAATATGGAGCAAGTCAAACGCCAGCTGTCCCCGGCGAGATTCCCCCACTCGCCGCACATATATGTAGTGGGAAGAGTCTCGCAAGTGAGGCAGAATTGGAAAAAGCCATGTCTCGTGTCTTTATTTATCCTGGTGGGGGCGGGAACTCGCCACGCAACCGGAGTATGCTCTGCATCAATTTGGCTTGAGCTGATTCACCTGGCGATGGGGAATTCATGAACAATACACAGCAACGCATGTTTTAGTCATCACCTGGGACCCTTGAGTACGGCAAATGCAGTAATGTGAGACTGACTAGCATCAAGTTAAGAATAAATAAACGGTGGCATCACTCAGAGCTCAGACAATAGCTCCCTGTGGGATTGGAGTGTGCCAAAAGTTATTTTGGGGCCAACCTGAAGTCACGCTCAGCGGATGTTATTCTGAACTTAGGAACTCCCTGGAGCCATGCGGTTGGGAGCGGACTGAGCTGTGCAGCAGCTGACAATTGCTTGGACTCATCAAATGTCAGACGCTGCCAGGAATGAATCTGAGCTACGTCTCCACAGTGCGCAGCCACAGAAGGGGATTTTCAGCACCCATATTCAGCCTTCAGACATGCAAAATAAGGAGCAAGAAAGAAAGTGCCCACGAGCTTGTCCTGTTTGCTTCTCTCTCTACTCTTGGGATTGGAATGAGAGCAAGGAGGGGCAAAGTGTTAGCTTACTTTCATGTTCAATTTATGCCTTATCATATACTTATAAAAAGATTTTATTGAAGCAAATAAAACAAGTCAATACAATAAAAATAATAGAAGTACAAAAAAGCAGCACAGTATATCTGGAAGAGACTTAATATTAGGTTGCTAAAGTATTTAAAACCATTAGGAAAGCCAAATTTGACATCGTATTGTGGAAAGGAAGTCCTGTGTGTCAGTATTTGCTGTATATAAGCTAAAATCCCACCAAACAACATATAATTTTTCAGGGTCTCCCAAGCCTTTGGCAACACATAATTTATGAGTCATTTCTTGCAGCTATTGCTAAGCTCCACATATTTATATACCAAAGCAAAAGTTGCAAATTCTGTAAGGTTTTCCATTTGGAGGCAACTGAGATTCTGGCAGCCACCAGCATCCGTGTCAAGAGTTCCTGAGAGCTGAAACCTTTGGAACAGCCCAGATGAGTGGACCCATATGCAGGTCAACCATCACTGATTGTGAGTAATTTGCAAATGGCGTGCTGAAGAAGAAAGGGGGAAAGAACACTTTGCTCCCATCCACAGATGAAAGGAAAATGAGCCAGCAGCTGAGCACTGTCACTGCAAAGCTTCACTGTCACCACTGGTGCAAGCAGAGGAACCGAGGAAGAGGGGAAGGGTGGAGAAGGTCTGGCTCTGGCCTGCTGGCTGGATCCATTTCCTCTCACCCTGGTCTGGATCATGCTTTTCATTGTGATTAAGAACCTAATGCACTTAGAGAGCTTCCATATGTGCCTGACAGAAACATTTATATAGGCATAGGAGTAGAGTTGATGCTATTAGGAATCCCCCGCCTGTTGCTTTCCTTCTTGGCAGCTGACTTCCAATTAACCACCTTTCTGCAGAAGAGAAGCCAAGTCTTCCTTGGAGCTCTCCTGGGTCAAGAGAAGTTCTGAGTTACATGAGCCATGACCACTTCTCACAGCTGCTGCTGCTGCTGCTAAGCATCTTGGCTGACAGGCTCTCTTTGAATAGTTGGTGCTAAAAGCCATTCAAACACATGCAGGAAGGAAGCTGCTGACACTCTGATAGCAAGTTGTCACCAAGATAGAAACATATGCCCAGTTAGCAAACCATTTTGTAAATATATTATCCAAATCGTCTCTCCCGCTCCCCCCGCAATCTGCAGAATATTTAATTTACAGCAACGTTCATTCATTCACTGCGTTTATATCCCACCTTTTTCGTTAAGCAGCTCAAGGTGGTGTACACAGTTTCCCCCCTTCTCCTATCCAGGACATTAGGCTGAGAGGAAGTGATTGGCCCAAGG